CCAATTTCCACCACGAAAACCGAAATATTAAATATTTAGTTTTTATTGGTTTTAGAAATTCCTAGATTCTTTGAGATCCAATGAACTTTTCAAAGGCATGTTTCAATCTCGGGAGTGCCCTCCAGGTTTTGTGACTGGGATGCCGAGGATCACAAAACGAGGTGTGAAGTAACCATGCAAATCACTTGGTACCCTTAAAGTTTATCACTCAATCGATGTGCCGGTAAACCACACACGCTCCACCGATACTATAATAAACCTTAAGTCACCCTTTACCTACCTTGTTAAGTCCAAGTTAGTGTGCCGGTTAACCACACACGCTCCACCAACGACTCAGACAAAGTGTAAAGTGTAATTTCATGGATTAGCACCTTATTCACATTTTTCCTAAAGTAACTAAGATTGGGAATTTAATAAACATTTAGTTACTTTATTATATTCATCATACTTTGAATGAGAATTTATAAGTCCTTGTCTTACCCGTTCGGCTAACGACCCTCCACCAGTCAAGCAAGCGGTGGGTGAGAATATACACCCATTAAGTCACCATTTTATAGGCAACAACCTTATACCCACCTTATAGACCGGCTTCGTGAATGAGGCGTACTAGCGGTAAGACGACTTGTTCTTATACATATATATAATTATTAAATCATCATAATATAAGTATAAGGGTTGAATTTTAACTTTTAAAATTCTAGGGGTTGGAACTAAAGTTTTAACTTAACTTTACTTGTTCCAAAACTTGAGGGCAAGTTTTGTAACTTTCAAAACTTTTCATTTCTTGTAACTTATGAGTTTAATAGAGTCATAAAATGAAGACTCTTCATTTTTATAACTCTTGTGTTTTCTTAATGGTTTTAACTCAAGTGTGACTCTTGGTTTTCCATAACTTAAGGATAAGTTATGAACTCCATTAAAACACATTATGATCAAGAATTAAACTACCAAATAGGTTACAAATAATTCCTATGATCATCTAAAACATCATAAGAACAAGAACATGAATATGAACACAATCAAAAATTACATAAAACTTTGTAATTTTGATAACTAGTTGTTGTAAATGAATTAGCAAGACATTACACCACCAAAAACAAGTTTACATTTACTAAAACAGTTTAGGGTAATGTTTCTAATTCATTTTCCAGCAACTGAATCGAAATTCTGCACTCATTCGACCCTACTCGCCGAGTGCATGAACATGACTCGCCGAGTTGGTTGAAGATACACATGGACTCGACGAGTCCCCCTATAGACTCGACGAGTCCGTTCGCAGACAGCAAATTTTCGATTCTGTTTTCAACTTTTAAGCACAAATAAGAACAAACAAGCCTAGGCTCTGATACCACTGATGGGTTTTGAGCATTCTAACACTTCCTAAGTGTACATGCAACCCTAATAACCTTGGATCTATGTTTGTCTAATTTGTCATGCAAAGTTGATTTCCAAGGTTATATTTCTATCTAGGATACATGGGGAACAATTTTAACATAAAGTATAGATAGAATAACTTACCTTGTTGTTGCTTGTGTTCCTTGAAACCTTGTGAGCCTAGCACCCCAAGTGTGATGCCTCAAATGCTTCACACAACACCAAATGCTCTTGGAAGAACTTATGAGAGAACACACACTCTTCAAAAATCGGCCAAGCCCTCTATATCTTAGTGTAACCGATTTGGGAGGAGATCATATTACTTATATAGTGTTAACACATCTAGGGTTAAACCCTAATGTGTCATGACTCTTCATTTCCATGACCCATGGGTTTGTAACTCCCATGGAGCATCCATGGAACATCCTATGGGTGGAACCCAACTTGATGATCCATGGAGCCTTTTAGCCCACTATACAAGATATGGATGATTTACTTAATCAACCCATATATTTAATTAGTTATCTTTTGATCACTTAATTAATTCTAAATTAATTCTTGATCAAACTAATCAAATAATATTATTAATATATTAGAACTTATAATATATTAATAAGCTCCAAGCGTTATTTCTCTCATTTAGTCTATCCAATTGCATGGTGCCATGCAACCCAAATGGACCATGCCGGGTCGGGTCAAGTACATACCAGAAATAGTTATGGACTTAGACACCTTATCCAACAAAAAGTGAGTTATTTCTTACTCAGAATCTGGTTTCCCACAAGCGTGCGAAGCATATTGAACTAGATTACCATTTCATTCGGGAGCTCGTTTCTTCTGGGAAACTTCATACCAAATTTATATCCAGCAAGCTCCAGGTGGCTGACATCTTTACTAAAAGTCTTCCCCGCCATCAGTTTGAGTTGTTCCGTGACTTGCTCACCATTGGTCCACCACCATTCCGCTTGACGGGGGATATTAGACATGATTAGCTAGCTGTGTTTATTTTGTTATTGTCTAAGGGTGTATTTGTAACTTTTCTATTCTATATATTGCATTCCTCTCTGCCTAATTGGACATCAGAGAGTTTTTGTGAGTTACGCTCTTAGTAAGAGAAGGGCAGATTAGGAAAAGATTCACAGTCAGCGATTGATCTCAGCTTTCTCGTCGAGACTTCTCTTACCGAGTCAGCCAGCCTAATTTGGTTTAACAAACAACCTCAGCTGACCGAGTCAGCCAAATACATCTGACAGTCATATATCAAACAGCCCCTTAATATATATATATATATATATATATATATATATATATATATATATATATATATATATATAATTGTGAGCTCTACAAATTTTAAGATCAAAAGCTTAAAAAACAAGGAAATAAAATATAAGCCTTTGGATTAAAATTGGATGGTGGAGATTATTTAATGGTAATTATTGTAAAATGTTTAAGCTAATAAAAAGTGTCCAAACACAATGACTTTGAATTTACCATTTTTAAAGCTTAATATACCATATATTATGCATAAACAAACACAAAAGACACAAAAATTAACACACATTCGGATCATATATAATCAAACACTCCCTTTTGTTATATTTACCAGTTTTTTCTCTCTCTAAACTCCATTCTCTATCAACCTCAGCGGTTTACACTAACACCATAATTGCCACCAGCGTTAGCCAAACACCATCACCCACCTCTGCCACTACTACAACCATCAGAATCGTCGTCGTTACCGTCTGCCACCATTGTCGTCTCCAACACTAACCATCACCACTGTCACGATGACCGTCTACTCGCTAACACTTAAAGCCCTACCACTCATTTCCACTGCTACCATCCCTGAACTGTTACCATCTCCTCTCACCGCCGTCACGACTCCCCCTACCTTGCATTGAAGATTGTTTTTCTCTAAGAATCTCTTTTCATCCTTAGATATTTGTAGATCTTAGGTTATTTCAGTCAAATCCGTCTAGATCTAAATTTCTGTTGACGTTTTATTGTCAAAATCAAATATAAGTTTGTGTTTGTTCATGTTGTTGTATAGTTATTTCCGTTTTCTTGTAATTTTAAAAAAGTCCAATATTTTTGTTGTTATATTGTAGAAAGTAACGGATTACAAAACGTTAAAAATTTATATTTTATGTTTTTGGTTTCTCCTGAGGGTAGAAGGAAGAACAGCTTCTCTTTATTAGCATCAAGTAAGTAAAAATATAAATGTTTTTGTCTTTTACGTTATAAATGTTTTTGTTTTTTTACGTTTCAAAGGCATGATAGTTCATACCAAAAACTCTCATCTATGCATGTTATATCAATAGTTTATTTTTTTTATTCAAGTCCAATAAAATCCTAAAATTTTAGCCTGGTTTATGTTTTAGTCCTAAACTAATTTTTGTTTACGAAAAAGTTCCAAAAACCGGTAAAAGTTTGCATTTTAACCCTTTTTGACTGGTTGGAACCGGTAAAAAATTAATTTATAACTATTTCATAAATTAACCCAAAATATTGGGACTTTTCTACAAAAACAAAAAATATTAGGGTTTTTCTGCAAACAAAAACCTTATTATTATTATATTAAAACTATAAATAAGTATACTATTTTTTAAATTTGTTATTATTAATATTATTAATAATACATATAAATACATTTAAATTAAAAAAAAATATTAAAGACATTTTATAAAGGTGAAGGTTGAGCGGATGGTAATACTTTAAGCTTTGAAATCATGAATGTCTGTTTGTATATTCTAACTTTGTATATGGTCATTTCACATTTGTTATGATTGTTTTTAATTCAGAATATTAACATTTAACAATTTAAAAGAAGCTACTGATTTTTCAAATTGTTTACAAATAGTGAGCATGTGATATGCATGTATGTCTTGTGTGTAAGTATTTTTGAATGTTGCTCTTTTTCATTACTTTATCCTTGTGGTTTTTTTGGAAACATAGCAGATATATTGTGATAAAGCAAAATAAATCATATTACTTTCTATTAAATAAGATATTTTAGTTAATATTTTCGAATTTTGATATGGGCCACCAATGTAAATATTTATTGTGGATCTGTTGGATTTGAAAAGAAATCATTCTACCTTAAGAAATTTTATATAGAAAGTGAGAAATCCTTTTATCTTAAACTATTTTTACATAATTTTACAAATAGGCAACTTCTTTTAAATTGTTAAGTGTTAATATTTTGAATTGAAAACAATAATAAGAAATGTGAAATGATCATATACAAAGTGAGGACATACAAGCAGTGATTTCAATGCTTAAAGCATTACCATCACCACCACCTTCACCATTAAATAATTTCTTTAATATATTTTTATTCAAGTGTATTTATATGTATTATTAAAAATATTAATAATAATGAATTTAAAAATTAGTATACTTGTTTATAATAATAAGACAAAACTTCAAAAATGGTCCCTGTGGTTTCCAGAAATATCAAGTTTAGTCCCTAAGTTCAAAAAACCTCACAGATGGTCCCTGTGGTTTCAAAACTTTTAACAAATGGTCCCTCCGGCTCACTCCGTTAGCATTTCACCGTTAACTCATTTTTTAATAAAATATTGCAGGGGTAATTTCGTCATTTCAGTTGTAACCTCCTCTCTTTAAAAGAAATTGCATGTCCGATTTTTGGGCAAATCCTTTAGCTTCATCAGTCGATCATCTCTCCTCCTTTCCACTGTTGCTCGACAGTTGCACCCTTCACGACATCCAATCGCTTCTGATTCAAAGATGGTGACTTGCAGATGTGGGAATGAAGCAACGAAGATCACTTCATGGACGGATCGTAACCCTGGAAGGCAATTTTGGAACTGTAAAAGATGTGGTTTCATTCGATGGTCTGATCCCCCTATGTGTGCTAGGGCATTGGTGGTGATTCCAGGTTTGATAAGATCAAAGAATCGATTGGAGGAGAGGGTCGCCATTGTAACTGCACAATTGTGGAACTACCAGCTGATGTTGTTTTGTTCATGGGTGTTTTTTTTTGGTATTATTTTAATCTCTAAATATCTTCTGAAGGTTTGGATGGTAATGGAGTTTTGGTTTTTGGTTTGTAACCATTGCAGGGTTTTTTTTTTTATTTTAATCGGATAGGGGTTTTTTTGCTTTCAGTTTATGTAGGTGGTTTTGGAATTGGTGGTGTTGTATTTGGTTTATGTATCAGATTAATGTGTAATGCAGTGGTAATGGTAATGGTAATGGAATGTAGTTTGTTATAGTTCATTGTTCAATTTCTTGAATGTTTTTGAAATGTAATTGTTAAGTGTATTGTAATTGCATCTTGAAGATGGTTTTCATTTGCAATTGAAATGTACATTGTTATTAATTGATCTGTGAAGTGAGGGTAGTACACAAAACATATTAATTCATCACCAAAAAGTGCATACACACCATTACATTCAAAGTTATAAAGTTCTTAACACAACCATGATCCAAAAAGTGCATACACACCATTACATGCAAAGTTTTCAAGTTCTTAACACATCTTCAAACAAGTACACATTACATAAGTTTCTAAATACCTACAACACCAACATCCTAATAACCACTAAAAAGTCAATTTTCAGCCTCCTCCAACTTCACCACTGCCTCCCTGCCCTTTACATGTTCTGGAATTGTGCCCTTTGTTATGACACTTTGAACAAGTGACTGCCAAATATTTCCTGCTCAATCTACCAGCTTGGCTGTTTGGCTCATCAACACCCCTTCTTCTCTTCTTCTTAGGCCTCCCAACCTACACATGTTGATATACTATAGTTAAAATTGAATTCATTCCATGTTCACATGTATACTATATATTTTGTGTACTTTAAATACAAACCTGTGTCTTATGTTTTGGTGGAAGTAAAGTGAATGGGCAGTCACTTTTAGGCCACATTGTACGTCCATTCAATGGATCAATTTTGTTGAAATACATGGCTTTCCATGTTGATAACCTATAGCAAGGATGGACCCATTCATCAACATGTGGGGCATTTTCACCATTTTCAATTTTGTCCCATATAGCACAAACAGCATGTCTACATGGGAAACCTGTAATCTCCCAAAACCTACAACTGCAACTGTGATCATTCAAATTTACCACATATTGGTCTTGCCATGTGCTTGCCACTTGGTACTTCCCTGCCCCATTGTATTTAGCCACATACTTTGATGCATCAGCCTTAATCTTTTCAAACAGTGTAGTTGCAGTAGGGGTTAGAAGTCCTTCACACTTATCTATTTCCTTTTGCACCACACATAACCTCTTCATGAGATACTCTCTAATATACTCTAAGCAAGTGATAATAGGTTTATCCCTACCTTCATCTAGCTTTGAATTGAATACCTCACAAAGGTTATTCAACAAACAATCAGTATGTGCCCTTCCTGAATAATATATATTAACAGAAGACAATTACACATATAGTAAACACACAAAAGGGAAGATTAACAATTCTCAATAAATTTCTAGAAACTTACCACTAAAGTGAGATTTAGCCCAAGTGTTTGCTGGGATCTTAGACACCCAAGCATGAGCCTCTGCATTGATCTTCTTCAACTCATCCATTGCTCTGTTAAAATGATTGACTGTTGTTGCTCTACCACACTCCCAAAGCTGGTCACTTAAGTCTTTTCCTTTCCATTGCTTCTTCATGTTTTCCTGGATATGCCTCAAACAGAACCTGTGTTCTGCACTAGGGAATACTTTCTCCATTGCTGGTATTATTCCCTAAACAAAAGTCAATGTAATCAACATTAGTTAACCAAATGTATTTAGTAAAGGTAATAAAAAAGTTAGGTGGTACACACCTTTTGTCTATCTGAAATGAAGGTAAAGTTTGAATTTGGTCCCAGATCCAGATCTTCTCCTAACAGTTCCAAGAACCAGGTCCAGCTACTTGTTGATTCTGTCTCTACCACTGCATATGCTACAGGGTATATGCCATTGTTTGAGTCCAACCCTACAGCAGTTAACACTTGCCCAGGGTAAGGGCCCTTCATGAAAGTACCATCCAGACCTAGAAAATCTCTTAATCCAGATTTGAATCCTAACTTCAATGCACCTAAACAGACATATATTCTTCTAAAAGTTCTTGTGGTAACAGACAGGGAGGTTTCTGGATACACATCAATCCTAACTGTTGTACCAGGATTAGTGTTGAGTAGCTCCAACACATAATCCCTCAAAAATCCATACTGTACTTGGTAGTCCCCACTAATGATACGCTCAGCCATTGACTTTGCCCTAGCGACCTTTTGCAATGACATTCCTACCTCCAGTTTCTTGCACAACTCTTCGTGTAAAGCTTTCACTGGAATTTTAGGGTTACTCTGTATTTGTTGAACAATTAAGTTTGCTACGTATCTGGAAGTGCAAGCTTTAACCGCCCTTGTTTGCAAACATTTATGCTCATCCTGTACCGTTTTCACCAACCAATCCTGATTTTCATTAGCCCTCGATATTTGGACTGCCCATGGACATGTACCTTTATTGGCAATTACATCTTTACCCTTGCACTTTGCCCTACTTCTGGTTGAGGGCCCACCACTATCAACTCCTGTAGAAGGCTTACTTACAACACCTTTACATTTCACCCTAATCCGGATTTTGTCATTTTTGGCTAGGTATAAAGACCTCCTTGTTGCTACAGCATGTGAGTTCATGTAGTTTTTAACATCAACCTTGGTTTTGAAGACCTGACCAATCTGAAATGGTTTAACATGAACCTCTCCATGTGAGCATGTACTTGACTTACTCAACTCTTTTAGCAGTCTCTTCCTATCATCTTCATGAAATCCTGCAAATTGATAATCATCAGTGGCAATAACTTCCAACTCATTATCAAAGTCAACCACTCCAATCCCATCATCTTTTGAATGATTGTTCAAGATTCCATGTTCATCTACATCAACAGCATTATGGAATTCACTCATGTCTACATCTACATCAAATTGTATGTTAGACTCATCCACATTGTATTCACTGTCATCAGAATCATCTCCACTATCCTCAGAACCATGGCCACTCTCAGAGTAGAAAGCATCTCCACTATCATCACTCACCATACCCTCTAGATAATCCACTTCTGGTTGTTTTTCAAATGAAGTTTGAACATTAAACTCAGCATCATAATCAGCATAAAGTGAGTAATCCTCTACAAATGGTTCATAGTCATCAACTGTTGTAGTATTAGCTCCATTATCAGCTTGGCAGCTTGGTTCCTGTACATGGTAAGTTCCCAATTGTTCTTCAGTTTCAACTGCACTAGTGATCACTTCTTCTTGAGTTTCAATTTCATGATTCACCACTTCCTTTTGAATGACATGACTTTCTTTACCTTGTGACCTTATAAATGGTACAATACTCTTTGAGTAATCATGGCCTTCATCAACATCTAACACTTGTGACTGCTCATAATCAGGGTTCATAGACTTGTTTAGATCAAGCTTTCTACTACATGAGCCTGCTTCTCTCCTACAAGGTTTCTTTCTATTCATTTCAGGTGACACACTATCAGGCTCCAACTCTTCAATAACAACTTTAGAAGGAGACTTGTAATAACTACCTACCCTTGTCTGACCAGTTTCAATATACACCCTAATAAGTCTGTGTTTAGGGACATATGATACCATTTTAAGTACATCTTGATCATTACCTAAAGGCATTAAGCCATAGTCCAAAGGGTATTCAGGGATACAGAAATGGTAGTAAAGGGTTTGCTCAGTTTTGTACCCTAGTTCTCGAACCATGTCGTCAAGATCATGAACTGAAAATAAATCAGTGTCAACATAATCTACATATGCTACAACACCATCAACGTATTTCCTTCCAGGTGCTTTGGTGAAGACACCACTGTAGTGTATCTTCAACGTGAAATAGTTCTCATAACCTTCTGTAAACACAAAAAAAGAAACAGTAAAATCAATGATTTCCTTACGTCAACACAATAGACCAAGAAAAAACAAGTTTTGTTGTAGTATTGTACCGTATGTTTTTCCTAAGTCCTCCATGGTTACAAATTTTTCTCGAAAACACCATATTGATAGCACCATTGCAATTTCTGCAGCTTAAAACCCTAAATCCCAATTTCTGTTCTTGCTTCTTCGATGGGAATGAGCCTGATGACTAAACCTGTAACTGGTTATCTTCTTGGGAGAGGGACGGGTAGTGATGTGCAAGCAAGTAATCATTTCATATTAAAGAGAGGAGGTTACAACTGAAATGACGAAATTACCCCTACAATATTTTATTAAAAAATGAGTTAACGGTGAAATGCTAACGGAGTGAGCCGGAGGGACCATTTGTTAAAAGTTTTGAAACCACAGGGACCATCTGTGAGGTTTTTTGAACTTAGGGACTAAACTTGATATTTCTGGAAACCACAGGGACCATTTTTGAAGTTTATTCTAATAATAATAATAATAATAATAATAATAATAATAATAATAATAATAATAAAGTTTTTGTTTGCAAAAAAAGTCCTAATATTTTTTTTGCTGAAAAAATCTCAATATTTTAGGTCATTTTGTGAAATAATCTCAATATTTTAGGTTAGTTTATGAAATAGTCCCAAATAAATTTGTTGCTGGTTCCAACCAGTCAAAAGGGGTCAAAATGCATATTTTTGCTAGTTTTTAGGATTTTTTCGTAAACAAAAATTAGTTTATGACTAAAACGTAAACCGGATCAAAATTTTAGGACTTTATTGGAGATTTCCCCTTTTTATTAGATGGAAGTGTACACTACCCAAACCAATACATTGCCATATCCTGTTGGCAGAAACAAGAAGTAAAGTTTTAAGATTTTTAATATCTATTTAGATGTAAAGTTCACATTAGATGTATTTACATTTATCTCTTTCAGATCTGTGAAAACAAGTAAGCTGAAAGAATCATTGAAAAAAGAATAGGATATATATTGAGTTGTCGTATCTGATATGAATTTCTGTTTTTTCTATAATTGTTTATGTTTTAAGGTTCTTGAGGACATATTTGTATGTAATTACATATTTGTATGTGATTATATATTAAATTTGACAATGTTGTGATTATATTATACAAATTTGATATTTGTACTTGTAGATTTTATTTGATTTTTTTCTTGAAATTGGTATAACTTGATGCAAGATTTTTTAGAGCTAATTATTTGTAAGAATATTTTAGCAATATTTGTACTTCATAGATTTTGTTTGATTTTTAATTTTTTAAATAAGTTTCAACATGGCTTTGTGCTTGTAGTGATACATCTTTAAGCAAAAAAAGAAGCGATAACTACGTATCCCATTGCAAGCATTTTTGTGATTAAAAATAAAGTAGATGTTAATCACAAAAGTGTATGTATGTATTTTTTTATAATTATAATAAAGAATTAGACGTAATAGGAACAAATATGTGATTTGTGTCCATTGGTTTACTATGTGATTTGATTATTTTTTATAAAAAATATCGATTTTTATTTGGAGGGAAACTATTAGCCTTTATAATACTCTATAAAAATCGTGTGATGGGATATGGCGGACACTGAGTTTCGTCAAGGGTGATGAGTATAGGTAACGGGATGGTGATGCCACCTAAGCACCAAAAGTTTTCTTAATCTTCATCTTTTTTGTTGGGGGTGGTGTTCAATTTCCTCAAACACCGTTGAGGTGAAGAAATGCAGAAAAAAAGAAAGTCATTGATTGGCTGAAAGGGGGCGTGCAATTCGTTGGTGTTATAACATGTGATACCATAACGGTAGACGGAGATGATGTTCTCGATGTTATAACGCCGTTTTTGTGTGCCACCTCAGCTGAAAACGATGTTTTTATAGCCCATATCGGGCAGTCTAAAGCAAGAAAAACCATCTTGGTGACAATATTTGTTAAAACATAAAAGAAATATACGTCCATTCAAGAAAGAGTAAAATAAAATAATAATGAATATTGAAGAGATATTTTTGTGATATCAAGAAAGAGTAAAATAATATAATGAGGAATATTGAAGAGATATATTATAAGTTTCATGTAAATCAATGGCAAATATATGTGAAAAGCCAAAGATTCATTTATTAAATTTCTAAGATTAAAGAATATAATATTCTTATTTATTAAGTTTATTAATATCTTTATGATGTATAGTGCAATTTGTTTTAAGATAACAAAATGTTTTATCAAAGATGGCAAATTCATTAAAAATAATATCCTTTCTCAATTTCTTTATTTTCGATTACAATTTTTTTTGAAACATTCCAAAACATGTTTTTATCCTTAACCAAGAAAAACAATATATTTTCTCTTAATTCCAACATACCATGTATTTTTATTATAACATACATTTTAATAATTAAAACCCAAAAAGTACAACTTACATATATTTTTACCCCCAAAACATTATTGTAATTATAAGAAATTTTGTGTCGCAAAAAAAACTAATATTTGTGCAAGATAGCCGATGGATCACATAGATAACACAAAACAACTTGCCAAAAAAAATTAACTAGCCGTTTACCCGTGTCAAGCATCAGGTGCGGATATTTTATTCAAAAATTAAATTGTAGAGACGATTAATTCTTTTGCACAAATAGTTTACTACATATAAACACTTATCAGTAACAGTCATGGTAGCGGAAATTAACTTTATAAAAAAAATAAAAATAAAAAAGTTAGAATTCTTTATAAATATACATGAAGACATGTCGGTTTCAACTTTTGGACCTAATGGAGAAGAGTTGTCATTCATTTCTCTAATAGCATACAATTGGTAGGCATCTGCATTAACTTTATGACTAAAACATAAGAATAAATGAAGTAACAATAAATGAAATAAGAATAAACAAAAGGGTTATATCACTGGAAATTTTCATTCTTCCACTGAAAATTTAATATAAAATAATTATACCCTTGATTTACATATATAAAAATTGAAAAAGAGAGAAAGATTCTAAGGAATCCAGGATTTGTTTTACTTATAATCATTAAGGAGAGCAAAATATCCGGATCCATTATTTGCTGACGTGTTTACAATTCTTTCTTAAAAATTTATGAAATACAACTTTTTTTTAGCTTTGCAAATTTAATTAGCAACATATTTTTTCTTTTTTCTACGATAAGTTTTTTCTTTTTTATAGTATTATCCCTCATTTTCACACTTTATTTTTTTTCTTTGGTTATTTATTCACCATCAACTCTAATATTTTCAAGATAGGTTATTGACACATTAATTAAATAAAAGTTTTTAAAATCAACAACTTAACAACCAGAATATATATATAATTCCAAACTAATGTAAATCAAATAACAACAAAAATGTTTTGGCAACAAAAGTATTCATATTAATACATATCAAATATGTATTATGGTTTCCATTGTCCATTGATCACAACCATCTACCTACCTTGCTTAAAATACAAACCCTACCAACCGAGATTTTATGTACTTCTTTAGATTAATTACAAGGAATTAAAACATGTCCAAACTTTCCAGCAATCATCGATAAGGCATTGGTATTCCAGAAAGAGTACTTCGACTAATCTTTAACCAAACAATCCTTTGATTGTGAAAAAAATTCTTATCCCATCTTTTTAACCACGTGAGCCATCTACTCTGTGTAGTATGTTGCTCTGAACGAATTCGTCTGCCATGGATCGATGTGAATCGACTTCCACCATATCTGGAACAATTCCCCATATAGGTAGAATTATCATGTTTTACAGCCCCACTGAAAGATCCAGATAGAGCCTCTTTCAATGATTTGGCATGCAGCATATATCCATCCAATTCAGGTCTCCATGTATCCTTTCTTTCCCTATCACCTTTCCTATCGACTTCACCACTAACACTAATGGAACAATGTGACATCCCCATTTTCACGGCCAGAAAAGACCGATTTTGTTTATGCTTTATAAAAATCAGACTACTTCTTTTCATAAAAATGTTGCAGAATTTGTTCCCAGAAAAATACGATAAATACGTCATCAAAATATTTTCGAAGAAACATATTTTATTCATTTTAAAACGTTTGGGATGTCATCGTCACTACATAAACATAAGCATAAACAGAACTTACATTTATTTACACTAGTGATCTACATCTCTTTAATCTCTCAGTGTAATGTGACTTCATGTCAACACCTGTGATATAAATAAACTGAGTGGGTCAGGTTGGGAAACCTGGTGAGTACATAGGGTTTTCAACCCACAATAATATACTTATTATGTTTAAACAATCAAACAATCAACTCAATTACCCATCCCCATTATCTTCTTTAATCTTAAGGATCTACCCTAAGAATCAGCTAATCCTCGTTCATTCATTCCTAAGGATCATCCTAAGGAATCGGCACAAAGTCCATCGTTGTCACAGTTTACACAACGGGCACTAAGTCTGCATAGTTGCCAGGGTTTAGGCATCAAGTCTGCATGATCACCAAGGTTTAGGCATCAAGTCTGTATGATCACCAGGGTTTAGGCATCAAGTCTGCATGATCACCAGGGTTTAGGAATCAAGTCTGCATGATCACCAGGGTTTAGAGTACACCGGGTGAACACATCGTTCACAACACCTACAGGTTGCGAGCCTGCTAGTGTTCCACTGGACTGTCTAGAATAGTCTGTGGTTGTCATCCATACTCTACTGAATGACGGGGACATCATTTGGGAAAAAGGCTTCTTACATCGTCCACCTCTCACCCTCACCTCGTGGTCTATAACACCTCTCAACTCATCATTCAACTCATATTCCATCTATTATATCTACTCACGTTTACCCCAACATTATCGTAGATATAAAATACATATACAGTTTAAATCATTTAAAACATGTATAAAATCGTTCATTTATCATAGACAACAAGTACTCAGATAATATGCACACATAGCACGTAATTTATATAAAATACTTCATATCTATGTGTAAGATGAAAGTAACTATGCACTCACCTGAAAGGTGGTGACTTAGCACTCGGACAGCGCTTCGATATTCTCAAAACAATTTCCTTTGATAAAACCTAGTATCAACACCACTACGGTTTAGTCTAACGATAACAACAACTAATTAATAGTCTAGCTATTATTATT